CACCATTAATTAAGTACAGGCATGTTTCAAAGCATGCCTGGTTGGCCTGTCATTGTTTTTTTTATTTTTCCCAAGATGCCAGGCACCAAATCCACTACTGCAATTAAGATTACTATGCCCTTTGGCACCCCGAAGTTTGTGGACAATAAAGGGACAGCCATTAGCTTATAGACACTAGAAGTCTAAAAACTAGACCAGGGAAGGTCGATAAATGCAGCCTGGGAGAGAGGCACCCGCTGTGAGAGCCAGATGACTCAAGTCTGGTCTCCAGAACCCATGTAAAAGCCACATGCGCAGATCAAGTTTGGATGTGTGCACATGCACACGTGCATTCTCGAAGGTGCGCGCGCACGCGCGCGCGAGCGCACACACACACACAGGACAACAAACACATGCACAGACAAGCACCCCATAAAGATTTAAAAGCCAAACAGCAGGTAAATGTAAGTTGTATTCAATAAGCCCAAAGCCAGCCTCTCATAGTACATGTACATTGTCATTTAATTTTGTCATAAAACAATACCAAAATTATATGTATCTCCTAAAAAAATTCTAAGAAGTTTTACTTGTTACTAAGATTGGAGGAGGGTGAATGGGAGAGTGTGTTCTCTGTGCTTTGGATGGTTTGTACAAAGACCACACCTCTTTGATTAGGACAGATAGAGCCCAGTTTTACTATCAATTTAAAGAAAGATTTCTTTATTTTTCTTCCATGTGATGAGTGTTTTTCTTGCATGTATGTCTGACTGTGTGCCTGGTGCCCACAGAGGCCTGAAGAGGGTGTCAGATCCCCTGCAACCAGAGTTACAGATAGTTGTGAGTTGCTATGTGGGTGCTGGGAATCGAACCCAGGACCTCAGAAAGAGTGAGTAGCCAGCACTCTTCACTACTGAGCCATCTCTCCAGCCTGAACAATTTTTAATTTGGTTTAGCCTTTAACGGAAAGTGGCTTCCTGTTCTCAGGATAGGACTGGGCACAATCTTAGCAGTGTGTTTCTTAGCTGCCCTCTGTATTTCTGGATGTAGACAGTGAAGGCTCAGGTCACACTTGGATGGGGTCTGATCGCACTTTTAATTATTATAGCTGAAGGTTTGAGGGACGCTAACATGTTTATTTATTTATTTATTTTGCTCCTTTTGAGGAAGTCTCACCATGTAGCCTTGGCTGGCCTGGAGCTTGCTATGTAGACCCCCTGGTGGGAATTTCTGGGGTCCAAGGTGTGCCACACTATGCCTCCCCCCACCCTAAAGGCAAGGTCCATTGTAGTCCAGGTTGGTCTTGGACTCTCTGTGTAGCCAAGGATGATCTTGAACTTGTGACCCTCCTGCCTCCACCTTCCGAATGGCAGGGATTACAGGTGTGCACACCACTTCTAGAAGATTCCACAAAGTTGTCCTCTGACCTCTACATCCATTCTTTCCCTTCCAGCTGTGACCCCTTGGATACCCAGGCAGCACCTGAAGACTGGCCCATCAGCCTGCACTCTGCGAGGCTGGGCAGGCTGGGGGTGTCCCTGAGATACAGTCCCGGAGGCTGCCCAAATGCTCTTTGCCCCCAAACTGCTTCTTTAAGGCCATTTTATAAATGGCTGACTGCGCCTTAATTCCCACCTCCTGTTAGTCCAGTGGCCTTTAGTACAGTCTAACGGTTGTCTAACCACCAACCACAACTTTCAACCGTTTCAGTCACCACCCCCAAACCTCTGCTCACCAACAGTCATGTCTGACTTCCTTCCTCCCATGCCCTAAGCAGCCACTGATTTTCGTCCATGTCTATAAATTTGTCTGTTTTCAACATTTCATCGGGTCAGGACCACAGAATATGGTCTTTTGGTGGGTGGCTTTCCTACTCCTACTTAGCACAGGGTTTTCCCAGCTCCAATACAGTTGCCTGCCTCAGTAGCCTGCCTCCCTTTTCTTTTGCTGTATAATACTTAACTGTAATGCTTTTATTTCCCTATTGTTAATTCATTCATTCACCGCTGAGTGGGCTGTCTGTTGTTTCTAGCGCCTGGCTATTGTGAATAATGCCACCATGGAAATGAACACATATGAGTGTACGTGTTCACGTCTGCTAGGCTAATAGGAATAGTGGTCACATGGCACCGTGTGTGTGTGTGTGTGTGTGTGTGTGTGTGTGTGTGTGTGTGTAGCAAATTCAGGTCTTTGTGCATCTGTGGCACAACATGCTTCGTCTTCCCAGTATCATTTTACACTCCCAGAGTTCCAGCCTCCTTACACCGTCCACACATTAGCCACTTGTCATCTGTCCCTTTTATGGCCATCAACTTCATGTGTGTGTGACATTGTCTTGCCATGCGTGGGTTTTGATTTCTCTGGATAGTTAGCAAATTCAAACTCGGCCAGAGTTGTGTGTCCTGGGGTGCGAACCAGACTTCAGCTGCTCCCACTGGCTGTGTGGCTTTGATACTCATAGCCTTTCAGGGTGCTTCCTCACTGGTCAATGACATGACTCACTCCATTCCTTAAAAGCATTTAGCGAGATGACACAGTCATGGTGTACAGTACGCAATTCCCTTCACATTATTGAAAGTTGGCTTAAAAAAAAAAAAAGGCAGAGCAATCTGGGTGTGGTATAGTACGTGCTTTTAATCTCAGCACCCAGGAGGTAGGAGCAAGCAGATCTCTGAGTTTAAGTCTGGTCTGAGCTACAGAGGAGTTCCGAAACAGCGAGGGTTACACAGACAAACTCTGTCTGGAAAACCAACCAAACAAAAAGATGCTTTTAAACGAATTCCTTCAAGTCAAGAACAGTGATCATATGGCTAGCCCACAGAGCAAGGTGAAAGACATCAAGCTCCGGAGTGCAACAGCCACACTTGGGTAAAGGGCATCCAGGGCTACAGGAGACTTCGTTTCCAGAAGTGACAAGCCCAGAGGGGCCCGAGGCAAGTTCCCCGAAGTTGTCAGGTCCCGTGTGGCTCAGGCTGGCTTGGAACTCACTGAGTAGCTGAGAACGACCACCAACACCTGCTCCTTTTGCCTCTACCATCTGAGTTCTGAGCCCCGATATAAGATAAAAGGCACACACCGCCATGCCCAGTTTTATGGGTGCTGGGAATCAGTCACAGGGTTCACATTCTAACCCAGTACTTTAACCAGCTGAGCTACAGCCCCAGTCCGGGCTTTTAGTTTTGCAGCTTTTAGTTTTTAAGGTATGTATGCGCATCTGTGAGTGGGCAGGTTCATGATAGCCAGGGAGGCCAAAGGCTTCAGACTTCCCTGGAGTTAGAGTTATAGAGATGCTGAAGTGGGTGTGGGAATCGAACTTGGGTCCTCTGGAATGGGAGTACCAGTTCTTAACCACTGAGCCATCTTTCCAGCCTCAACCTTTGTGGTTCTTAAGGTAACATGCTAAAAAAAAAAATCTCTTGGTCAGAACACACTGAAAACACATCCCGTGAGAAACAGAGGTCTGTATGTCACTGAGATGGTGGCCCCAGAGGGTGCTGTCAGGGCAGCTGCTTTTGTTCACCCACAACTGATAAGGGTTCCAACAGTGAAGACCCCATGTCAGAACACAGTCCCCGAACAGCTGGGCAGAGGCAGGAGCCAGGCAGGAGGCCCAAGCAGGCAGCCTCGCTCCCGCTCCCGGGATTTGATGAGCAGGCTGAAGCAAAGGCCAGGAGTCCCCTGGCCTGGGTTTTAAGAGGAGCAGAGAGGCAGCAGGCGGATGAAGTCACGGTTGAAATCTTTGCCCTCTGATTTGGAACACCCCCTTTCACTGTCTCCCACAAGCTGGCACATACAAACCCATGGGCCAGCGTTGACTCCCCCCCCCCCATCATTAATTTTGTGCACCAAAACCGCAGGCTAGCAGAGACGTTTTTCATCGGCTTCACTTCTTGTGGATTCAGGCAGAGACCTCTGAGCCAAACCTCTGCCCCTGGAACCCCATCTCCACCTGTGCCATCGTTTACAGATCAAAAGGGTGGCCTCTCGGTTTTGTTTGGCTAGTCAAGACTCAGCCTGGGTCCGCTCGGCTCAAACCAAAACTGCTGGGCACCAGACCTTTTAAGTTCCTTTTAAAAATGCCTGTGTCCAATTTTGGTCCATCCAGGTACCCTTCTTAAGAGAGGAAGAGCTTTTCCTTCCTCCCTTTCTGCAAGGAATGCCAGTCACCTTTCTACAACCAAAATAACAGATTATGGATGGTGGAAAGCCCTGGCCCAGTACCCCAACCCCTGGGGGCTGCTCCAGCTTGGCAGGCAGGTCCCAGTTTCCGGGTTGTGACCTTGCACCCGGGTCCCTAAACTTACGTCCGCAGGGCTTTCTACAAAACTACCAGCCTCCTCTCCACCCACGGTGAGCGGGGCATCAAACCGCCCAACCCTGTTTCAAAGCACACCACACAAACAGAAAAGGGATTGAAGACGACGCATTTCAAAGAAGTTGATAACAAAAAACGGGAGGGAGGAAAGAACGGTGGGTAAAGAGCAAACTGCAACAGGCCAGGACACTTCTGGCGGGCCATCCCTGGCTCTCTCAGCCACAGGCTTTCGTGCAGCCCTGGTCACACTAACAACCGGCCCCCTCACCCTCCCTGGCTCCGAGTGACCCCCAGAAGCCCCTCGGCCACAGGCCTTTCCAGTTAACCATCTGCTTTCTGAGGAGGAGCCCGGCGATGGTCTTAAGGGCGGCGCATCTCCCCGTCCCCAGCAGAAATCCGAAAGCCACGCCGAGCCCTTAGCTTTCGGGCGGCCGGGCGCGGCCGGGGGTGGCAAGGGACAGCGCGGGACTCTCCCTCCCCTGCCCGGGTGCGAGACGCGCGGCCTGGAGAAGAGGAAGGAGGGCAGGGAGGAACTTGCACCCCAAGTTTCGGTGGGGAAGCGGGGTGGCGGCTGGAGAAGCGCGGAGGGGGTCGGGGATCCTGCGGGCTGCTCCGGGAACTTTCTAGCAGACACTGGGCGCGGTGCTCCCGGGCTTCCGTCCAGGTGCAGCCCCTTGTACGCGGCCCCAACCCACTGCACTCTTCTTACCATCTGCGCCACTTTGAGCAGGGCGCCCGGGGTGCGCGGGTACACCGTGTCCAGCAGTCCCTCCGAGGGCTGGCCTGTCCCCGGCGCGCCGCCGCTGCTGCACGTGGTCCGGATAAGCCCCGATCCGTGCGACATCGCGGGGGCCCAGACCGGCGGGCCGCCTCCGGGGCCCCGGGTCCTCCGGCCAGTAAAGCTGGGGCGGGACGCCGGGGCGGGGCCTCAGGGGCGGGGCGCACGGCTCCCTCTTCCCAACTGTGGGGGACCCAGAGAGGACGGGCGAGCAGATGCCCGCAAGCTCCTGCCCACCAGACGCGCGGAAGTCGGACTGGCGTGGGCAGGAAACCGGACGCCTGGGGCCCTGGCCTCTCCCAGGAACGCACCGCCCAGGTCACAGCTGGTGACGAGCCTCCAGGGATGTGTGCGTGTGTGTGTGTGTGTGTGTGTGTGTGTGTGTGTGTGTGTGTGTCTGTGCGCTGGGTGCTGACACCAGTAGGGTGAAATGCCCCAGAGTACCGTGCTGCGCTATTTATTTCTGCGTGTGCATGCGTGTGTGCGCACAGGTGCGTGCACACACCTCCCTTCCCCCACCCTCCCGCTACTCTGCCTCTTTTTTTTTTTTTTTTTTAAAGGCGGGCTCTCTGTAGCCAGCGGGGTGACACATATTTTCAATTCCAGCATTGGGGAGGCTGAGGCAGTAGGATCTCTATGAAACCGGGTTTACATAGTGAGCTCCAGGGACTATATAGAGACTTTGTCTCAAAAACAAACAAACTAACAAGTCAGAATTTCACTATGTACCCCTGGCTAGCCTGGAACTCACTATATAAACACGGCTAGCCACAAACTCACAGATACCCTGCTGCCTCGGCCTCCCCAGTGTTGGAATGTAAAGGATGTAAATGGCGCTGCTCCTTTTAGCTGGCCCTAGGCTGCGTGCGTAAAGCTGGCAGGCAGTTAAAGCCAACCAGGAAACATCTTCAGCATCATGATACGTCTTTCTCTCTCTCTTTTTCTCCCCCCCCCCGTGTGTGTGTGTGTGTGTGTGTGTGTGTGTATACGAGCACACACCTGAGCACAGAGGTCGGAGGATGCCCCGTGTCCCGCTCTGTCTCTCTCTGCCTTCATCTCTCAGAGGCCCACAGCCCTGGCTGTATCAGTTTCTCTTCTTCCCCTGACTGAGGAAATAACTGGCCCAGCAGCAAAGCAACCGAAAGAGATATTTTGGCTCATCTGGTATGTTTTTTTCCTGGCCTGTTATTGGACCTCAGAAGTCACACAGCTTAGTTCTGGTCCTTTCTTCCTTCCTTCCTTCCTTTTTTTTTTTTTCCTTCCTGAAACAGTTTCTCTGTGTAACCCTGACTGTCCTGGAATTTGCAGAGATCCACCTGCCTCTGCCCCCTCTAGTGCTGGGACTAACGGCATTCCACACTGCCACCTGGTTTAAGACTTTTTATAAAACACTCTTTTTGAGCTGGCCGTTGGTGGTGCAGGCCTTATCCCAGCACTCGGGAGGCTGATCTCTGTGAGTTCGAGGCCAGCCTGGTCTACAGAGTGAGTTCCAGCACAGGCTCCAAAAATAATACAGAGAAACCCTGTCTCGAAAAACAAACAAGCAAAAATACTCTTTTTGATTTTAAACATTTATTTATTTTATGTCTATGAGTGTTGTGCTTCTGTGTCTGTGTATCATGTGTGTGCCTGGTACCCGAGGAGGTCAGAAGGGGGTTGGATCCCCTGGAACTGGAGTTTCAGGACAGCCAGGGCTACACAACCAACAAAACACCCAGAAAAAAAATAAATAAATAAAAACCAGCACTATGCTGTTTTTTTTTTAAAACAACAAAAATCAAATCAAATTCAGTTCAAATGTTTCAACTATTGACACAAAACAAAATAAAAACAACCCCACCCCCATAATGCTCTCACCTTAAAAAGAATAAGAGATGGTTTATTCTCAAGAGCCAAATTTGAGTGACCAAGGCCCCGGAACACAGATTTGGGCGAACCCAAACTGGACGTTCCCCTGTGGGAGCACTTCTGTAGCTTTACAGAACAAAGGGAGTTATAAATCAAGGCACATTTGAAATACATTAGTAGTTGGGCGCATCAGAGGGAGCTGCTTACAGCAAGATGGGGACCTCTGATGTCTCTTGGTGACATTCTTAGCTTTGGGGCTGTGGAAGCCTGAGGTCTGCTAAGTTAATAGATTCCAGGAGTTTTCAATCTACTAGTCACAGGTTGTTAGTTGCTAATCAAACACAGAGGTGAGCAAACACAAAGGAATAGCCTTTGCGGGAGGTGGGGTGATGTTAGCCTTGGATAAGGTAAGTTATCTGAGGACCTGCAACATTCCAACCTCTTTGTACTGCTGCTGCTCTAGCAGCCAGTCCGTTGCAGACACAGCCTCTTCCCAGGAATTCTTGTTGACACCCGCTGTCTGGATTCACTTTGTCATCTGACATTGCAAACTTGGAGAGGATTCACCAGAAAGGTCTCTTGATTTTTCTTTTTTAAGAAAGAAAAATTGTTTGTTTGCTTGTTTGAACCTATGTTTATTGTTTTGATGAGTTCTCAGGGAAGCTTATGGGCCTGCTTTTGAGAAACCAGAGAGAAAGACAGTAGGTAAGACGCTGTTCCAGATGGTCTTTGGGATTTCCAGCCTAGGGAGGGCCGGGATCACCCCAGTGGACTTACTCCCTTGAGATTATACAGGCCTCTCCCAGAAGGTTCCCAGAAACTCCCCCTTAAACCTCCATTTCTCTGCCCTTTTATGGAGCCTTGAGGGCAGTATAAAGTACTTAACAAAATCCACGTGTCCTTGCTTTGTGAGAGAGAAGAGACAGACAAATAACACACTAAACTCTCTTAATTAATTTGTTTTTGTTTTTTGATGACCTGGGGGGATTAAATACAGTGAGATTATCCAAACTTCACTGTTTTGTAGTCTGACTGATCCGGAACTCTTACGCAGACCAGGTTGTTCTTGAACAGGAACAACCTGCCTCTGCTGGTGGGTTTGAAAGTGTGCACCATCACGCCTGGGTTTCTTAGTCAGTCTTCTACTGCTGTGAAGAATCACCATGACCAAGGCACCTCTAATAAATAAAGACATTTGATTGGGGCTTGCTTAGAGTCCCAGAGGTTTAGTCGTTGCCATTGTGGTGGGAACATGCCGGGCACGCAGGTAGACACGGTGCTGGAGTGGTAGCTGTTCTACAGCTGGATCCCCAGGCAGCAAGAAGAGAAAGAACCATTGGTCCTGGCTTGGGCTTCTGAAACCCCTCAGTGATGCACTTCCTCCAACAAGGCCACGCCTCCCAACCCCTCTCAATGACCAAGCATTCAAACGTGGGGGCATTCTTATTCAAGCCACCACACCTGGCTCCTTTTTCTTTTTTCTTTTTTTGAGACATGGTTTTGCAGTAAACTGTCATGGTGGGAAGTGGCTGTGGATGGTGAATGTACCCACCCTTTAGTGCTTTTCAATCTCCCTAAGGCTACGACTCTGTAATAGAGGTCCTTATGTTTTGGTGACCCCGCCCCCCCCCCCACATCACCATAAAATTATTTTCAGGGCTACTTTGTAACTGTAATTTTGCTGCTGTTATGAATCACAATGTAAATATCTGTGTTTTCTGATGGTTTTGCCAATCCCTGTGAAAGGGCCATTGGACCTCAAAGGGGTTGTGACCCACGGTTGAGACTGGAGAGTGAATGCATTCACTCTTTAGATGAGCATAGCAAGGAAAGCCTACCCAGTATACTCCAAGGCGCAGCGGCCAGGGCAGCAACATGAGGACTCCTGGCAGCTTTACTGTACATTTTGCAAAGTCACCAAATGACAGGCTGTCCCGGGTTGCCATGGAGAACCAACCCCGCCATACAGGTGAGGAAACGGGCCACGGAAAGCCCCAGAAGCCAGGGGGCATCATATTGAAAGAAGGCGTGCTTAGCCTTGTGCACGACAGCAACGCCTCTAGCGTTTCTGTGGTTTTTCTTGTTTTTCAAAAACTCAAGTTGAAAAGTCACCCCGAGATACTTGAAGTAGCGACAGGCACTGTCCCGCCTAAAAACACTTCCTGTCAGTGCGTGTGCCCGGCTCATCTGACTACTCCCACTATCTGATTGACCAGCTGCAGAAGACGTCATCACAGAGGAGATAGATGTGAGGTATGGAGACAAAGTTCTGCTCAGATTTGGCACAGACATCTCTGGGGTCAGCAAGATGTGTGTGTGTGCATCCATGCGGGCAGCAACCGCTGCTGTGGTCCCTCAGGTGCTGCCCACCTTCTCTGAAACAGGGTCTCTCACTGGCTGGCTTAGAACTCCACAAGCAGTTTTTGCTGTCTGTCTCTGCTTCACGAGTGCTGGGAATATAAGGAGAGAGGGCGCAGCCATTAAAGGCTCTGCACACAACCCAAACTAAATGTACTACCAGATATGGCCTGAGGCAGACCTTGAACTCCTAACAGACCAGCTCTTACCTCTTGGGTGTTGGGGTTACACGTGTACACTACTACAGCAGGGGTTGGACTTGGGGCTTTTTCTTTCATTGTTTCCTTGATTTTTAATTTAAATAACATTTATTTGTTTTACATACCAACCAATGAGTCCCCCCCCCCCCGTTTCTCTCATCCCCTCTCCTTTCCCATTTACCCTTCTCCTCACCCACTCCTCCTCCATAGATGCCCCTCAATCGAATGGGCAAGGAAAACGTGGTGCACGTTCACCAGTGAGTACTACTCAGCTGTAAAATGACTTCATGAAATTTGCAGGCAAATGGGTGGAACTTGGGGCTTCTAAAGTCCTCCACCAGTACCAGAGTCACAGCCTCAGCAGTTTTTCTTTTTTAATTTAAATCAAAAACAATCTTATTTTATATATCACTCAGTTCTGTCCTTCCATCCCCCTCACCCCCCACTCCCCCCATCCACGCCCTGGGGAGGGTGAGGTCTCCCATGGGGGATCATCAAAGTCTGTCACATCATTTGGAGCAGGACCTGGGCCCTCCCCTGTGTATCTAGTCTGAGAGAGTGTCCCTCCATAGGGAATGGGCTCCCAAAGACCATTTGTGCACTAGGGATAAATACTGGCTCCACTGCCAGCGGCTGCATAAGCGCCCAGGACCCCAACTGACATCACGTTCACGGGGCCTGGTTCGGTCCTATGCTGGTTCCCCAGCCGCCAGACCGGAGCCCGTGAGCTCAGGTCAGCTGTTTCAGTGTTTGTTTGTATGTGAGTGTAGGAGATCAAAGCTAGCATGACAGCTGAGCTATCT